CCCGGCTGCCGCAGCGCCGTCGTCGGAGATTTCCATCGAGGCTGGGGGGCGGGCCCGGGGGGGGGGAGTGCGGGCTGGGGCGGGGCGAGGGGAGGAGTGGAAGTTGGGGCGCAGCAAAACCCGGCACCGCGCGCCCGAGCAGCCAGACTGCGCGCTGCGACCTCCGCACAGGTGGTCGCGCCGGTCCCCCGCGATGTGGCCCAAAGTTCTCCTGGCCTTCCTCAGCCTGTTCCTCATCATCCAGTCGAGGTGAGCCTGCATCCCGGGGCCCCGGCAGCCCCAGTCCCTCGAGCGGAGCCCTCCCGCGCCCCCTCGACGCGTGCCGGCCTCCACCAGCTCGCTCTCCCTCGGGCGTCCCGGGCCTCTGAGGAGCAGCTGGGCCGCGCGGGCCGGACCCTGGCCCCGTCACTCCCGTCCCACACTTTGAGCCCCAGGCACTGGGGCGGCTGGCAGAGCGCGCCTCCCCTCGCGAAGTCCTGGGCACGCAGAGGGGAGGCGGCCCCCAGCCAGCAGCCGGCCGGGATGCGCTCCTGGGGCGGGGGGCCTAAGTGCGCACAAAATATTGAGCTGTGCCCGCTCTGCTCTCTGCGCTCGCGTTTTTCTCCGGGAGGGTTCCAGGCAACTCTGACTTTACTTGCTTCGCATCCCGCAGCTGCTCTCTCAGCGCTACTCCCAGGCACGCCTGGGTTTAGCCTTAGGGTTCCCACCTAAGGCACCCCGCACGCTCCACTGCAGTCACCCCCTACACACACACGCGCACACACACACACACGAACACACACACACACACACGCACACACGCACACACGCGCGCGCGCACACACACACCCCTTTCCTTCCTCAACCAGAGACACCCCGCGGGGCGTGGGGCTGCCCTGGCTGGAGGGAGGCTGGAAATGTTTTTCTCCTTTGAGGTCTGTGGCTTGGGTCCGGACCTGGGAATTTGCTAAAAAGGTTATCCCACAGATTTCTGGCTTTTTAGGGTGGAAGGTGACTGCTTCATTTTTTTTTTTTTTGAGACGGTTTCCCTTCCTGCTGGTGCGAACTGTCTCAAGTTCCTAGGCACAGATCTTTCTCGAAGTCCCTGGGGCTCCTGGCTTGTGGACTGGTGTTTGGCGTACCTGGGTGGAGGGACTGTTTGACTCCACTGGTTTGCTGCTGCTTCAGGGTGGGCTTTGGCAAATGTTTCTGAATGCATGCTAGGAATTTCCCGCCCCCCACATCCCCCAGGGGGGATTTGGGCTAGTTGACAGAGCAAACATGGAACATGGTGACTTGGGGGGGGGGCAAAGATGGCTGGGGGGGGCAAGAGGAGGAGGGAGACCAGAGAGGAAAACAACATGGAGGTGGGCCTACCCCTCCAACCAGGGGAGGGCTGCAGCCAGCGATGCGCATTGGCACCATGGCAGCCTGTGATGTCAGGGAAGGGAGGTTGGGGGGGGGGGACGCTGGACCATACTGAACTAAGAAACCTCCTTCAGGTCCAGGCTTAGCCTGGACTTGGTGCACAGCCCTTCCTCCACCAGAGCCTCAGTTCTTCCATCTGTAAAGTGACAAGGAGAGCTGGTGTGGAAAAAAAAACTATATCCAGGGCCATTTCTCGAGTTCACCCTCCTCTTCTCTAGCCAGCTTGGGGCAGGGGTGTAGAGATTCAGCTCTACCCTGGGCGAGGGATGTGGATGCCTGAAAAGCCCCATGGAAAATTCCACTAATCCAGCGTATGAGTGTTTTTCAAGTTTTTCTTCTTGGTAGCTCTACAAGTGAGCTCAATAGCTGCTCTGGAGAAAGGTGTGCATTATCAGGTGCTCCTTAACCTCAAGGACCCCAGGATGAGATTGTTTGTCTGTTTGTTTGCTCTAATTGAGAAAAGTTAATTGTAAGATCAAAACAACCTCAGAGTCTGTGACATCTCTCTCCCTGCAGACTAATCGAGGGGTAGGAGGGCTTTGGTGACCCCAGTGCAGTCATATCCGTTTTGCAGTTCTGAACCTGGAGGTGGCGTTCTTGTTAATGGCTTATCAGACATCTGGAAGCTTCGCTATCAGCCCTGCTCCCAGCCACCATTTTGAGAGGTCTCAGGCCTCCATTTTCCCTCCCTGTCTCTGTGCCTCCCTCCCTCCCAAGAGTGCTGGCCCTCATCTCTTCAAAGAACTGAGGGATTAGCCTCCAGTCTGTGAAACTCGAAAAGCTTCAGGGAAGAGGACATCTTCTGGATATGGCTTTTCGGAGTAGAAACTGCTTTTCCCGAGCCCAGTTCCTCCCCTAGCCTACAGTGGGAATTAGCCACTTCAGACATGAGAAAATGGCCCCCGACACAGCACATCTGTATGCCAGTTAAGCAACTCTAAGAGCCTGAGATACTGCAGAAAAATGTATTTTGCCGCCCAAGTTGGCAGCCCCTTGGTCTGCAGTACATGGGTCATGTGTAGGTCTCCTGCTCTGTTTATCCCTTATTTTAGGAAGGAAGTTGCCTCGTGGCTTATAAAAAAAAATCCTTTTGAAAGTGTAACATACAAATATTAAATCACATAAGTGAATAAATAGCTCAGTAGATTTTCACAAAGTAAACATGTTCGTGTAACCAACACTTAGATCAGGAAAGAGAACATTAGCAGCCCCCTCCCAACACATACACAGGCACACACACATCCACACTGCACACACATACACATGCACACACACACACACACACACACGCGCGTGTGCACACCTCCCTGTATAATCTCCCCAAGGGAAGCCACCCTTCTGCCTTCCAACATCACACATTAATTTGAGTTGATGGCTTTTAAAAAAGCTTTTAATTATAATTTTTTCAAAGATATATGACAGTCGAGGGAATAATAGACTGAATCTCCATGTACTCACCAGCCTCACATTTATGCACTTGTGGTCACTTCTTTCTCTGTCCCTACCCACCATCCTTTTCTGGATTAGATTACTTTGTAACGAACCTCAGATATCTTACCATTTCATATGTAGTTATTTTAGCTCTGAAGGACTTCACAAATATAAGAAAATGGCAGTATTGCACCAAATATTTAAAAATAATTTACTCATGTCTCAACTATCTTGTCTGTTCAAATCTCTACTGTTGTGTCATAAATAGTGTTTGTATAGTTTGCTTTTGAAAAACTGGGATCCAAATAAATTGTGTGCATTAGCAAATGGAACATTTTTATTTTTTCAATCCTTGTTATTGATTTAGAACCTCTATACAGAAAAATGCTCAAATCCTAAGTGTACAGGTGAGGAGGGGTCAGGAAATGACGACACTGGCATAAAGCAAGCCAGGTCAAGGACTGGAATGTAACAAGAACCTCCGAAGCCCCTGGTACCCTTTCATCCCTGTCTCGAAGCAAAGTAGCACTCAACCTGAGGGGAGTGCAGACATTAACAGATGGCTTCTTTGAAATGATCACTGCTATTATTATCATTATTATTATTATTATTAGTGTTATTGACTTGGTGCCTGGCCTTGGCACTCAAGATGGATTCCTGTTGGCCGTCCATTTCCCGGATGCAGCCTCTGGGAGAAGAACTCCTGCCTTTTTTCAGTGCTGAGACAGGCACAAAGAGCTGCTCTTCTGACTTTATTCTACATTGCATACCCTTTGAAAAGCTAGGTCTTCTTGTTGTTGTTGAATAAAGAATTGTGAAAGAGAAATAGCATAGGAAGTCCTCGAAGAACAGAAAGATTTAAAAGAAATTAACCAGTGTAATCTGTTAGTGCTCCATAATTTACTGTTACCAGTTTCTAATTAAGCCTTGCATTGCAAATATTTCGGTTTGCCTCTGTCCCCAGAGGCACCAGCTGCAGCCCCTGCACAGTGGAAAGTATAGCTTGACTTTTTGTTGGTATATATTCTAGGGTGGTGGGACCTCAGACTGAACTGGAAGATGAAGCATCTGGCCACAATGACGTCATTTACGGCCCCCAGCCCCAGCCCCTGCCCCAGCCCCAGCCCCAGCATCTGCGTCTGGGCAGGAAGCTTCTCTCTAAAAAAGTAAAGCCCCAGGTTCAGCCTCAGCCCCTGCCCCTGCCCGTGCCCCTGCCCGTGCCCCCTCCTGAGGCCCTGCCCCCAGCCGTGCCCCTGCCCGTGCCCCCTTCCGAGCCCCTGCCCCTGCCCCCACCCGAGCCCCTGCCCCACCCTGTGCATCGGGGCAGGGAGATTCCCTCTAACAAAAAGAAGCCCATTGGTGCCCCTGCGGTGGTTGCCACCACTGCCCCCGTGATGGCTGCCACTACTGCTGTTACACATGCTTCGGAGGCTCCGCGAGCAGGCAGCAAACTGCCAGAAGCATCTAAAATCCTGGACGCCATGCTGAAAAACTATGACAACAAGCTGCACCCTGGCATTGGTGGTGAGTAGCAAAGCCCAGTTCCAGAAGGAGGGAGGGAGGGAGGGTTGCGGGCACAGGTGTGGGGAATGGGTGAGATGGGCAATAGGTGAGGGTGCCACGCAAGGGACGGGACATCTGCTGCTGACCTATCGGATAATCCGTATTAACTCTAGTCCCAGCTGTGCTATGAATGTGGGTCAAGACTCTTCCATTCTCTCACCCTCAGTTTTCCCAACCCTAAAATGAGATAACTGGACTACATGACTAACCTGCCAGGTGTGTGTCCAAACCTTCACCGTGCATGAGCTGATTCTTGCCATGAAAGAGCAAATAAGGAACTAGGATCGGTCCTCTTTCCTCCTTTCTGCCTGTGCCCCTGCCCCATGCCCCGGTAGACACTTATCCTCTGCTCCTTCTGCTTCCCTTCCAGCGAAGCCCACCGTGGTCGATGTCGAGATCTCCGTCAGCAGCCTGGGCCCTATTTCCATCATGGACATGGTGAGTACTGAATTTTGATTCCACTCTTTTCGAGCCCAGGGCCTGACCTATGGGGCCTGCCATGTTCTTGTGCTTTCTACTCTGTGTTTCTCTAACAACTCCAAGAGGTTTGGTTTGGTTTGGTTTTTGGAGGGAGGGGAGATTTTAATTGTTCAAACCTTGAGAATGAAGCTGGAAAAGGTAAGTCTCTTGCTGTCTGAAGAGGACCTTTGGAGTCGTGACTAGATCTTCCAGTCCTTCCTTCAAAATAAAAATAAAGCAACTTGAAACACTGCAATGGAATGGCTCTTTCTTTCTGATAATTATTTATGTGCCTTTAAGTCTACGGTTGCCAGATGTTGCTCTGTGATTGTTTCTCTAATTGTGTCCTTGTTCCTTTCTCTCTCCTGGTATTTATCCACTGGCATTTATATGAGTGTCCTTACTATCACCATTCAGGCTTCATTTGCAGAGCACTCTGCCTACCCTAGCCCTCCCGCCAAGGATGCAGCTTGGCCCCACAGTCCAGCAAGCGTGGCCTTCCATGGATCTGCCCTGCTTTACCCCTCTACAGAGCACATGCTCTGATCTATACCAAAATATGGACACTCCCAGACCACCTTGAGCCTCTGAGCTGAGCTTTGTTCAAGCAGTATCCTATTTGAGATACCATTGCTCTATTTTCTTTCTTGTCACAAGCCCTTTTCCCTCAGAGTCCGGCTCAGAGGACATTTTGTTTATGGCACCTTCCCCACTGTCCACAGCTACTAATGTCACCCTTCTTACACCACACTGCATTCTGGGCACGTGCATCTTCCTACCTTATACCTACCTCAGTTCATTGGAATGATCTCCTCTATGTCTATCTTGCTCTGTCCACCACGGACTCCTTGATCCCAAGGACTCAGTAGAAGTTAGCTGACCAAATGTGTTATGAAAGATGCTCTGTAAAGGTCACTTGTATCTGCAGAGCCTGACAGTGAGGAAAGCTTTGATCACCAACGTCATCATAGCTGTAGATTTGGCTCGGCCCAGAGCAGACACAGTTTTCACATACCCACCAGTACCCAGCAAACACCATGTGGTTGGGTGAGACTTGGCTTTCAGATGAGCCTTGCAAAGGTAAGTAACCCCGAGGGAAGGCCCAGGTATCTGCTTCTCCATTATCAGACCATGTGTTAAAGCTGCAGAAGGCCTATTTTTGCATGGCCTGCTTTCTTCTGGTATACTTGATGAGGAGGGGGACACAAGTTTCTGCTACTCCGGCATAGAACACACCATTGCCCAGAGCGCACTTGTCTGTGGATCCTCGTAGTAGGCTGGGTGGCAACCCAGGCTGCCATTAAGGATCCCTTTAACTTTCAATGGACTGGAGCCTCCCAGCAGGGTCATGAATCCTAGTGTTAGTTGTAGTCAGTGTAGTTGTTGGTGGGGGGAGTTTGAGCCCCCTTCGATCAGTCAGATGTGTCCTCTGAAAAGGCTGCCTGAGCCCAAGGCATGTGGCTTTTAATCAGATGTTTTGCCAGTCTTCTGAGTCCTGGCTGGACTCAGAAGCACCCAGTCTGAGCTTGAAGGGCAGTGGTCAGATTGGGACCAATGGCCCGTCACAGCATAACCAGTTCCCCATGCTGTGTCTGGCTGCAGTAGCTGTTGCAGGTGACTTGAATTAAGCCATTTCCTAAATTCTGAATTTCTAGTTTCAGCTGAGCTAAAAGACAAGTGATGTACATCCCAAGTTCCCTTGTCAAAACGGGGAAACATTGGGCCATTAGTTCTCGGTTGATGTGTAAAAAATTTACAATTGGTATTGTGTTGACCAGAAATTAAGTGCTTATTCAAAACACTTCATAGCAGCCCATGAGCACAGTGTGGCTGTGGAGGGGCGGGCTTCCCACCAGCTGCCGAGCAGTTCACAGTCCTGTGGACTAAGGAGACTGCTGGCCAAGCTGGGGCCTCCAGCTGCTTGGGAATGTGGGCATAATCTGAAGGCCCTTTGTAAAGGCAAGTGGGGTGCGGCCAGGCAGGGTGGACTCCGGGGCTCCCTTGCAGATGGTCAACAGGCTCTCAAGCGCTTGTCTGCTTCTCCAGTCTACTCTAGTGCAAGGCCGTGGTAATGGTGCTGGGAGTGGACAGCTCCCTATGCCTTCAGGCCTCAGTTTCCCTATCTTTAAAATAAAGAGTTGTGTTGTGACATAGTTCTGGTACGTGCTGTTCAAACTGCTTGCAGTTCTATTTCAGTCTCTCTTTCCCCTTTCAATACCAGTGGTGCAAGCTTCTAGCTTCTTGTGCTTCTTCCTATTGAACATCCTGATGTTTGACAGGCAGTGTATGGGACAGAAAGCATCTCGAGAGCAAATAATCACAGGTACATCTGTGCATATGCACCCATACATTCAGAGGTTCTGCACACTTGTTTGAAAGGCAAAACAAAACAAAGCAGAAAAATGATTCTCCTCATTTAAAAAACATGAGACTAGATAGATGTTTCTCTTATGACTCAAAGTACTTTGTTTTTTAATATAATTCTGTTTTTGGTACCGGGGATCAAACTCAGGTCCTTGCGCTTGCGCAGCAGGTGGAGAAACCACTGAGCTAAATCCCCAGCCTTTTAATATAATTCTGAGGAATGAAGGATCGAGGTTAATTAACATCAGCACTTCCCAAATAAAAGCTGAAAGGAGAAACTTGGCTGTGTACAATCAAAAGTGTGTGTGCTTATAAATTTTTCAAATGATGTTGAGCTAGGATCTCTGATTTGCCATGAGAGTGTGGGGCTGAAAGGGTATCAGCCTCGCAGGAGTAGCACCATAGTCCCGCACAGGTGATGAGTCTAGTTCATGCAACTGACCCACCATCACCTATTTGTAAAGGAAATGTGTCTTCCCAGTCTGGTACCATATCTATTTAGGAATGTCACTTTCCTTTGGGAACATCTGAGAATAGAAAACTTTTACAGTCAAACTTTGAGGCTGTTTTCCTCCATGCACACCTGAGTGGATAGCAATGGGGCCTTTGGCCACTGGTAGGGGAAGGATCTCAACATCAGGGCTGGACACTGGGTGATTTAGGGGGGCATTCCCAAATTATTTCTAGTCCCCCATTTAACAAAGAGGATAATAGGCAGACACATACGTTTCTAGTAGGTCTCCTTCCATATTCCCTTGGAACCATTTCTAGGCCACCTTTGGTTTTCTGTAGTGTCAGTATCATCTAGCTGTTCTCTATTCTGCTTTACTTTGACACAATTACATGTTCATGTGCCTAAGTGTGGACACAGTTTCTAGATGTGTCATTTTTAGTGACCAAGTCCTATTTTGTTTCTTAGCTTGCCTGTGAAATGTTCTCTTATTCATTTATAAGGAAACATGAAAAAAAAACTTGATGGGAATAGCTCATGAGCTTATGCTGATGTGGAGCCTCAGAATCTGGAATATCAGAGCTAACAGGACTTTTAAATATCACCAGATCCCACCTACTCTACTGTTTTATTGATGTCAAATTTCCTAGAAATCATTGGCATCCTTGACTCTACATACAAAGGATGATCAAAATATATGGTAAATGCTGACATTAACATTTATTACAGTAAGATACATTACCATGAATCCCCACAAAATATTCCCCCTCACTTTGAACACACTTACCCTATCATTCTTGTTACTTTCTGAGGCAGTTCTGCAAGTTCTCTTTTGTGAGTCATTATGAGGTGTGATAAAAAATACAGCAAATGCTGCTGCCAAGTCCCATCCAATGGAAAGGCGGACTTGTAAAAATATTATGGTGTGTCCTCATCCACCTTCTTCATTGGATCTGGCACCATGAAAGTTCTGGCTCTTCCGCAAAATCACAATGACCATGAAAGGGAAACATTATGAATCGATTCAAAACATGGAGGCAGCCATGACAGCACAACTAAAGACACTCAGGAAAGAGGACTTTCAGACCTGCTTCAGAAAGTAGCAAGAACAATGTGATAAGTGTGTTCAAAGAGAGGAATATTTCGAGGGGGGTTAATGCCATTGTGCTTTACTGTCGTGTTTGCCATTCTGCTGGGCAATACATTCTTTACCTAATGGTGGAATCACCCAAAGATCTGTGGTGGTTCTTACAGAGTAAACAGCATGAAGTGAGTAGTAGTGCAGCAGTGCCATGGGCTAAGTCCTATGAGATGTCTGTGTATGCTTGGAAGAGTGAGACTATTCGAATTCTGGCAGAGTCACAAATGAGTAGTCTGTCAGTTGACTCTGCAGTCCTTGCAGATCTGTTGGTAAAACAAATGATTGGGTTGAAAAAACAGAAAGCTTGTAGTCATAAATGCTCATTCTAGAAAAGACAAGACTCAAGAAGACATGATTCTAATCTTTAGATGCCTTTCATTGATTCAGTTTTGCCTCTGATTTAAGACACACAACCATTTTAAATCAGAGTTTGCTAAGATAAAGAGGGGAAAATGCAACATTAAAAATATGCATCCACTGGAAGATGTATCCTGGTTTCAAAAATTTGGGAAAAAGGCATCTTAAATTCAATAAAACGTCATTTCTGGAGATCTGCCCCCTGGAACAGGACTAGACCTACTCAGTGTGCATCCAGGGGGTGGGTGCAAAGGGAATTGCTAAGTGAAAGTAGGGCACTCCATTTAAGGGAAACCTTTGTATTCTGAGGTGTGAGATTGGTATTAACTGCTGCATAATGTGGGGGCCTTGCTCCCTTTGCTGTGGTAATCCAGAAGGGCTGGCTGACTTTTCGGCTGGGATCGCTGGACTTGGTAACCTCAGTCCCTTCCAGTCCTGACATTGGATGAATCTCTGGGCAGTGAGAAGGGACCCTATCCTGGTCTAGTGCTTCATGCATTCTACTACATTGCCTTTAGGATTGAAGGTTAAGAGGTGGCAAACAATATATTTGTGTGCGGATGTCCATTGCTCAGCCCAGAGTGTCTGGTTTTCAATCCTTCCCACCAGGAATACACCGTTGACATCTTCTTGTATCAGAGTTGGTACGACGAACGTCTTCGTTTCAATAAGACCTTTGACAGCTTTGTTCTGAGTGGTGATATGGTGAACAATGTGTGGACCCCGGAAGCCTTCTTCGTGAATTCTAAGAACACCATGGAGCATAGTGTCACCATGCCAAACCAGATGGTCCGAATCCACAGGAATGGCAAGGTGTTATATGCAATTAGGTAAGTCAAACCTTTGTTGTCTTGCCTCTTGGGAGTCTCCCTCCCTTTTGGGAATCTAGCCAATGACTTATGAGCAGCCTCTCATCCTGAATGATATTCTCAAGGAAGGGCCTATCCAGTTTTCCCAGCTCAACCTCTTCATGTAAACAGAGACATTGAGGCCTCACAATTTAAACAAAAAACAAAAAACAAAGATTCTGTTTAAAGTCACAGACCAAGTTTGTGGTAGAGCTGGGACTACTCCCCAGTGACTTGGCTCCCAGTGCCCAGCTCCCTCAGCTAGAATGTACCAGTACGATTGCATTGCCTGGACAATTCCATCCTAAGTGAGCACTGGATGCAACGGCAAGTCCACGGTGGTGGAATTGTCAAGGCAGAGCAGCAACACAGCGGTTGGAACTCAAGAGCAGGTTAGATGCTGGCAGGGGGAGGTGGAGCATCATTGGAGGGGGTGGGGTCGGAGATGGTAGAGTGGGGAGGGTATTTGTAGATCCTAGAAACTGGGCTGGGCGAGCAACAAAAGTCCATCTAAGTTCATATAATTTTATGAAGATGGAGCCCAAAGTAGTTAAATACTTCCATGCTGTACTCCTTCTCTTTTTGTCTCTCCTTTGAGCTTTTTGCCTTAAATTCTGCTGTTGCCATTCAATAGTGGCAGTCCACAGGTCAAAGCTGGATGGAAACCTAGATGCTCAGAGCCAGCCTAATGAGGCTCTTCTCTTCCTTCCAGGATGTCCATTGTCGTGAGATGCTCGTTCCACATGCTCAAATTCCCAATGGATTCTCACTCTTGCCCTCTGTCTTTCTCTAGCTGTGAGTACCTTCTTAGGTTTCGGGGAACCCAGAGATATGTTGGGCCCCTTCTTTTTCTCATCTTTGCTGTTTACATTTTTCTGCTTCTGCTTTTCTCCTAAGATGGTTCCAAAGTAGTGCCAAGCCTCTGCCCTCCACCCCCATCCTCAGCTCCTTCCCTGTGTTGCTCTACCCGGGCCTCATGCTTATTTCCTCCTTCTTCCTTGCACCTACCTCAAGTGAGCTACCCGCTTCTGAGCTATATCTCAAGTATGTCTGCTCTTCTCCATCTCTGCTGCTATCGCCTTGGTGTAGGCCTTTGTCATCTTCCCCTTGGACTTTTGCAACATCTTCCCTTTGAACTGGAACATATCCTAAATGTAATTGATTGTCTGCTCCCACCCCTGCCACCTGAACAAACATGTTGCTTCTGCATTCCCATCTGTCTCACTGATGCCAAAAACTTTGGTGCTTCCCTGTGTCCCCAACCTCCTGCATCTAATCAACCAACACATCCCGTTGGTGCTCCCTCCTGATTCTCTATCTACCCTTCCTCTGTTTCTATTTCTCTGTATTCTGACTGTCGCAGCTTTGATTCCTGCCTTCATTCGTTGTAATGTGCTTGAATTGCTGCACTGGCCCTTCATAGCTGGCCAACTTGCCAACCTGCTGACCGCACGTAAGAACCATAGTGACCTGAAGCAGCATCTAGACCCGGTCACTTCTTCATTTGCAATCCTTCCTTAACTCCATGGATCAATTCCAAATTCCTCAAAATGACCCTAAGGCACTTCATGCACTGGCCTTTGCTCCCTCCTCCTAAGTATCTCTGTGAGCTCACCATTTTGAAATTTTGCCATTTCCACAGTAAAGCAGGCATTTCACCTTTCAGTGCTGCTCCTCACCTTTCGGCATCATCCACATGGAAATGTTTACTTGACTCTCAAGATTTACTGGGAGTGTCACCTGCTCTAAAAAGTCTTCTCTGAGTGTGTTCCCAAGTAATAGTCCCTTACTTTGTTTCCTCACTGTTCTGTGGGTAGAAGTTTTCTAGAGCAACTCCAAAAGTCACAGTTGTATACTACTCACTGAGAATGTGGATGCTTGAGGGCAGGCTTATGCCTTGCTCATCCCTGTATTTGCAGGCCAGGGCCTGGTGCTCAGTAAATGCACTTATTGAATGGACTTCAACAACCAGGTAAGAGAGGCTGAGTCTCACAGCTGGCGAGGCCAGAGTCAAGGCTCCAGGGCATTGCTCAGGCTGACTTCATGCTGGAGGGCACATCAGCTGGGCTTCCCAGTCTCATTTGACCCTTTTTGCTTTCCAGTTTCCTACCCTGTGACTGATATGATCTACAGGTTGGAGAATTTCAGTCTGGAAATGAACAAGAATAACACCTGGAAGCTTTTCCAGTTTTACTTTACTGGAGTGAGCAACAAAACTGAAATTGTCTCCACCCCAGCTGGTAAGTGTGCCATGGGAACCAGGGCCAGGCAGGGGCCCAAGAAGGTGGTAGGGGTATGTGGAGATGGTCATGTGTATGGATGCTGTGCACCCATGCCATCAGGACATGGCTCCTGCCTTGTAAATGCTAAGCACTTACAACTGTTTGCAGAGGAAACTGAGACTTTACAACTATGTCTCAGTCTCATCTGCAAAGAAGTAAGTGCTTTGCCATGCCTCTTGAGAGGTAAGGTAAGTAAATAAAATTTTGTTGCCGTCAGATTTGGCAACCAGCTTTTCATGCAAACCCTCCAGTTTCAAGGTCTTCATTGACCTACTTGGAGCTTGTGTGACATCTCCGTATCCAGAACAGTCCAAGCTGGTTGGAAGGGAGACAAGGCCCATCTTAATGGGAGGTGGAGACTAGTGTTCTAATGGCAGCTGGGGTGGTGAAGGAGATTATAGAAGCTACAGTGCTGCCACACTGACATTCGTCTTAGAGGAGCGGCTCTGAAAAGCACACATTGCTGTCAAAGAATTCATGGTGGTTTCAGCATAGACATGGTCACTACTGGTTTTCTGGTCTTGTACCCAACAAGGACATAGGGGAGGGTCCTGGGTCTCTTAACTTTCAGCTCCCACTTAGATGTGAGCATCTTTGCTTGTGTTTCTAGGTGACCTGAATGAGGACCTAAGGGACCTTCCCAGGGTTGCTTCCAGAGCAACCCTGGAAACCCTCTTCACATGTACTGATCAAGTTCAGGGCACTGCCCTCATCATTTCCAGAATGTGGATGGAATGAGTCACCCAAACTGCCATTTGTCATGGGAGCCATATTGCTTTGCTTCTGTGTGGTTAGACAGAAAACTAACTTTTGCTTCACTCATGGAGTTAGTCACTAGGTAAAGGACAGCTCATGCTCACCTGGCTAGAGCTTTCCTTGCACAGTACTAGGCAAGGGGCAAGGGCTGCTTTACAAATGCTTTCCTTCTTCCTGGGGGTTCTAGGGAAGCAATTCTACTGCCTTTACCGAGATAGTGGCTCTTCTGCCAGCTAACTATGGGCCTGTCTCATAGCTTTCTGTACCTCGCTTTCTCCAGATAGGTGGGGACTCATCATCAAAGCTAGCAGAGGAGATAAGGCCCAGGGGCTTGTAAGTCACTAGTGGTTCCGTTTAGTAGATGATTGTGCATTGTTTCAAAATGGTGCCCTAGTGACTACAAAGCCCCATGGCCAGCATCATCACCAGATCAGTGACACTAGGTAACCACCAGGTCTTCTTTCTCTTCTGCTGGACATGGTTTTCCCGGGTCAGTGTGATCTTTTGGGCTGTTCTCAAACTGTTCCAGTCCACTCCTACTCTCTTTCTGCAGCAGACTTATGCACTCATCTCCTAATGTTTCAGAATGCAGTGCTAGCTGTCTACTCTGGTCCCCTTGGGTCTTGAACCAGAGGACCTCTGCTTCACGAGGTCTCAGAAAATCCACCTCTGCCCGCAGTGAGTGAATCATCCTCCTCTGACAGCTTTGGAGCTTCGGTGCTTCGGTGGAACCTTACAGCAGTCAGTTGTTGACTGTCTTGCAAGGAGTTTTCTTCCTTCTCTAGACAGACAGCTGAGCCCATCAGCAAACTCACCATGTTTCATCTGGAACTTCTGTTCATTGGACCTAGTTCTTTTCCACCAGTACTATCCAACTTATATTCAGCCCAGTCACTCTTACAGTAGGTCAAAATGAAAGGACCTGTATTCCCCTAGACCTAGATCATGTTCTGTTCTAGTCTCCACAGCCCTAGTTTATTTTTCTCCATTGTTCTTCAAAGCCATGGGTCCACTCATCCTTCTAGTCCGAGCCCTGTCAACTTTTTAATTTTCTCCCGCTTGCAGCACAACCATGGTCTGGGCAAAGCAGGTAAGAGTAAAACCAGAAAACATCTTTAGTATTTCTTTTACTTGCTTTGGCTCCTTGGCGCTATACGCCTTTCTTTCTTCACCCCAGTTTCTCCATTCCTCAGGAAGGAGAATGTGTGTGTTAGCATTCTTCTCATGGCTTTCAAAAACAAATTTTTATCTTTTGACAAGTGGATAAACTTCTTCTTTGTCCAGAATAAACAAGATTAAAACAGAGAAATCCAAAAAAAAAAACAAAAAAACCTTTTGACAAGCACATGTAAACTCAGCAGTTTTGCAGGGACTGGGGTGGTTACTGCTAATTAGCAGGCTCTTAAATTGTAATCAAGACCCCAGGGCAAGAGAACTAGAAACTTGATCAATACATTCTGGCCAGTGGTCCAGTGTGCCACTTGTCTCTGCTGCATCACTGGAGGCACTTGGGTCAAAGCTTCTGCTCAGGAGCCAGGTTTCCCACTGCTCCCAGCCACTTCCTTGCCTTTTTTTCCAGAAGAGTCTGAGAAGTGTTGCTCCCTGAGTGTCAGTGCTGCCAAGGTGAGTGGGCAAGGCTTCTGTCCTTCAGCTCCAGCACACCCAGACCTATTCACAGGCGATCTCCCTTGCACGGGCAGGTTAGTGTTCTGGTTTGCTCTCCACACCTGTTGCGGACAGCAAGAAGGGTCATGAGCATCTACTGGTTTCCAGGCTACTCCAGGCTGGGATGGGCAGGGGCTAAGCTGCAGGGCCTAAATGAGCCACTAGCTTCAAGGGATTTCAAAGCCCACCTACTTCAAGGCCAAGGAATTGTATGGGATCACTGAAGTGGGAGTCTGGACATAAACTTCATAAATGACCCAGGACTGGAGCTCTTACAAATACATTGTGATGTTGATAGTGAAAACTGATGTTCTGTATTCCTCTAGACCTAGATCATGTTCTGCTATAGTCTCCACAGCCCTGGTTCATTTCTCTCCCTCACTTTTCAAAGCCTTGAGTCCACTCCTCCTTCTAGTCCGAGTCCTCTCAACTCAGAAAAACCCAAAGGAGCCATGGAGGCAGGATAGCATACAGAGTGTTTGGGGCAGTTATATCAAAGCACTGGAAGGCTGAAGATACAATTGGAGTTGCAAGTTGTCATCAGGTCCTGCGGAAGCCATTGGTGTCTAGGCTGAGAACCAGAGTAGGGACACATGCCCAAAGGAACATGAACACATCAGTCCCCCTTGTAGGGGTACAGGTATGCTCTGCAGACTTGACACCTAGAGGGCTGGTTGAAATGTTCACTTTCAGATCAATTTCTCTGTGTTCCTGAAAAATCCATTTGCGCTAAAGGTGCTAGACTAGACTAAGAACAGGGGGTTTGGGGTTTGAATATTAGTGTAACAATTCAAGCTATCTCAGAGAATCTGAGAACCAATGAGATTAGCTGTATGGTGTGTGTGTGTCTGTGTGTGTGTGTAATCCATCAGTTGGATCTGGGTCACTTTGGGCTTTTAGTGTCAGAGTGTAGAGTTGATTCTGTAGCTCACGTAGAATACAGAGCCATTGAGCCCTCAGAAGTTTGGGAGGCAGGAGAGTACTTGCTTGGGGGACCCTCCCCTAGTGAAGCAGTGTATGTGTAGAAAGAAGACCAGAAGCCATGTGCTTCCTCCAGTCACAGCACATGCCTCTGTCCCCTCATTCCCTGAGGGCCAGCAGTGCAGGTGTGGCCCTGCAGATACACTGAACATCTCAGTGGGCATGGAGGCAAAGTCAGCCTTCTGCATGTCAGTTGTGTGGGCCTGATAACAAGAGGACGAACTGATTTTTTCACTTTGATCTGACTCTTCTGCCACCCTGAAAAGACAGCTCTTGGGGTGGGACAGTGAACTGAAAAAGCAGTGATGAATTTGGCCTTGGCATAGCCGTCTCCCTGGGCTCCTTCTGGTCCTATGTGTGTTGCATGGAACAGTTTGCCTCTGTTGTTTGACTGCCGCAGGGAACCCTGTGAGTTGAGCAGTAGGGTTCTCACAGTATATGCCCTGCTGTATATCACACTATGGGGTTTTATGTTTTCCAGGTGAATTCGTGGTCACGACGTTTTTCTTCAATGTGAGTAGGCGGTTTGGCTATATTGCCATTCAAAACTATGTTCCTCCTTCTATGACCACAATGCTGTCCTGGGTTTCCTTTTGGATCCAGAGAGACTGTGCTCCAGCCAGGACCTCCTTAGGTGAGAGGGTAAAAACTGGGCATCCACCTGGCACGGGTGACCCTGGCTCAGCTCTGGCTGTTGCCACATCCTGTGGGCAGCGTAGCACGTGGGTCAGGCACTCCTTTTCCTCGCAGGGATCACCTCCGTACTCACCATGTCAACTTTGAGCACCTTTTCTCGGAAGAACTTCCCGCGTGTCTCCTACATCACCATCCTGGATCTCTACATCACCATCTGCTTCATCTTCTGCTTCTGCGCCCTCTTGGAGTTTGCCATCCTCAACTACCTGAGCTACAGCCACAAGAAGGCCCATGCCTCTCCCATACTCCGCCATGTACGAGCTGGGTGTAGGAGTGGGTAGTGGAGGTGTAGCCGAGGGCAATGAGGTTATAGTGCCCCAAGGTTTGGGGAGTTAGCAGGAGCTGAGGGAGAAATCAACTTGCTGCTGTGATTGGAATGCTGGTGTGCCAAGGACAGAGTTTGCCGAAAACTGTAACCCATAGGTGTGGCTCACCTTCCCCTGACTCTTCTCTTTCTCCCCTTTTCTTCTCTTGTCCAATGCAGCCTCCTATCAGCAGCGCCCGCGCCCGTGCTCTGGCCCGTGCCCGTGCCCGCCAGCAGGAGGAGGTGTTTGTGTGCGAGATTGTCACCTCTGAGGGAAGTGATGGAAAGGAGCAAATATCTTGCTCCTTCCAAGAGCTCCCCGCCCCAGTTGCCCCCGAGCCCCCCCGTGGAAGGTTCTGTGGAAGCCGCAGGTGTTTCAGGAAGTATTTCTGCATGGTCCCTGATTGCGAGGGCTGCACCTGGCAGAGGGGTCGCCTTCGCATCCACCTCTTCCGGCTGGATAACTACTCCCGAGTTATTTTCCCGGTCACATTCTTCTTCTTCAATGTGGTCTACTGGCTTGTTTGCCTTAACCTGTAGGTGCCAGTAGGTTCCCTGTGGGGCGGACTCCTCAGTTCCCCGGGAGGTCCCAAGCCCCTTTGCCAAGGGAGTCGGGGCACAGCAGCAGCAGCAGGAGCACCTGAAGTGTTTTTCTTCCCTTGTTCTCCAAATACAAGCCTGTGAAGAGTTTGTCTTTGGTAGCCCTCTCCCCATGAGTCCCTTCACTCGTTCTTCCCAGCCCCCCCTTTCAAAGAACTTCACCCACCTCTCTTCCAGAAGGGCATTCACAATGCTCAGTCTGCAGGATCACAGGCTCTTAAGGATCAGCTCCCTAAAACCCTGCCCATCTCTGAGCAGATCAGCTCACTTCCAGCTGTGCTGACAATCACTGCCTTTTTCCAAACTCCCAGCAAACTCAGGCCTCAGCCTCAAAGTGCACAAATCAGCTATTTGCCCCATCCCTATCCTGACACCTCCTTAAAGGGCTAGATAGAGTACAGGAGGATCCCATCCTAGTTTTTCCTATCTCCCTGCCCTCCCTCCACATGCAGATAGACAGGCACTGGTATTATCTCTTTCAGAGGAGGGGAGCCAGCAAGTGGGTCTTTTGGGGACAGTATCCCTCCCTCAGCTGCTGTGACACCTCACTCTCCCCCCCCCGCTTCCATCTGCACCACAAGTTCAATGCCCTGCATCCAGTGGGTATCTGTCTGTTTTGGTGTGTGGTGATAGTGATTACCCCCTGCTTTTATGCCCCCTCTTCCTCTCCCTTGGCCCTTGTGACTCTGTAACGTACCCAGTGACTTTCCCAGCCCTGTCCAGGTGCTAGGCTTTGGTAATTTCCTGGGGCCAAGAAACGAAAGAAACTCTGATTTGCAGTGGGCATTACCCACCATTAATTGGTGCCCACCTTGGGCACAGTCGGAATTTGACAGCTTCCTTGTCCCCTGGGCCCATGAGCCAGTCCACTCTTATCCTCGGGGCGCTCACAATTACAGCCAATCAATTGAATTCCCCTAAATTTATATAGCACTTTACCTCTGGAGAAGCACTTTTGACAAATCCTTTCTATTTGGAGTCTCCTTATAGCCCTGCAACACCTCCAGGGCAGGATTCTTATCCCATTATGGTTATGCAGATGTGAACCCTGAAGCACAGATTTCTCTGGGGCTGTAGACCTCACTGGAAGCCACTCAGGAGCCCACTGTCTTGTTTTAGGCCACACCACAGGGCTAGACAGCTCTGTTCACCACAATTTGGTTCTTTTGCCTCTCCTGGCACCTCAGCATGGCAGGCTCATTTCAGCATTGGCCTGCCCAATTCCTGGGCCTGAGGTGCTCAGACTGCCCCCCAAATGGACCTTCTGCTGGCTCTAGTCACCCAGTGAGATGAATTTGAACCATCGCCCCAATGCTTTTATATGCTAAATGAAAACTGTGTCTGTGTTTTAAGGGGGTGGGTAGGGTGGGAATCCATCTGCTTTCTATCACCATCATCTGTAAAGGGGAATATATAAATAAAGAAATCAGCAAAGCATTCGAGGTGTGGCTCGTGTCTTTGGCCTTCGAGTTTGTTCCCAGTTCAGGTTTTCAACTTTTGTCTGTTCCCCTCTCCCATATATGACTCCTGGACATATGTGAGCTGCCAGGCATGCAAGGGGGACCCTTTTCTCCATATGAGCAAGGGGAAGAGAGTGCCTGGGTGTGTGGCCCCCTCCCAGATTTCCTGGCTTGCTTCTGTGCCTGTTCTCTGGGCCCTGCTTCTTTTGCCCATCACGATAGCCCTGTACCTTGTCTGGGTGCCACTGGGCTCCCCCACCCCCGGACAGATGGTGATGCTGAAGCACAAAGAAGGAGAGATTCCACTCCTGTAATACAGCCAGGCAGTAGTCCAATCCCGGAAATCCTAATGCCCTGCCTCAGTGTCCGGCAAGCCTGGAGACCTGGGTTGATTCACCTTTGGAAAGTCTGTTAAGAAGTGTTGGCCCTGGCGTCCTGTGACACTTCTAATTCCAAAGAAAATCAAGCGATAACAGCAACCAAAGAGGAAACAAAAATGGTGTCTGAACAGCTGACATCTTTGTCATAAAGTCCTCAGAATGATCCTTAACCACTTCCCTATTAAAAAAAAAAAAACCCACATCTTTACCTTGAATTGTGATGCCTTAACCTACAGAAAATTACAGGTAACCATGTTGGAACAAGGGAAATAGTTTCTTGGTTTTATTTCCATGAGAATGATGCAGGTGAGAGCATGGCAACCTGGCCCCTGAGAAAAGCAGTGCAAATTAGATTCTTTAATTTCACTGCAATAAAGCTTCGAATACAAAAAACCCATACTATTTATAAATCTTGGAAAACTCACATAATCAGTTCTTTAAAAATGAGGAAATTGAAATCATAGTTGGGTGCATATGTGAAAAATAAAGCTAATGACCCCACCGTGATGGCGGGCCCCTGTAAACCTAGCACTCTGGAGGCTGAGGCAGGAGGATCACTGTGAGTTGAGCCCAGCCTGAGGTACATAGTTCAAGGCCAGCCTGGATTAGACAGAGAGACCCTGTCTCAAACAAACAGAAACACTACATACTAAAGTCAGTGGGATGCAGCCAACACTGCACTTCAGAAAAATTCACAATGTGAGCATTTTAATTATTAAATACAGTGGTAAAAAAAAATGAGTGAAGCATTGGAAACTACAATTTGGAAAAAGGATAAAAAAGCATTACTCCTCAAAAAAGTTTTGAAGAGTAAACAATATAAGAATAATTATATCTTGTTTATATAATAATATAAATAATATAAAGACAACCAATATGTGAAAAACAATGAGCAAACTCGAATACCTACCTCTCTTTTCACATCCAAATTACAGATGTATGAAAGATTTGAAAAGTTTTTAAAGAAAACCCTAAAGGCACTCTAATATGGGGTATAGGAAATACCATTCTAAGCATGACATAAAACACCAGAAACTGTAAAGATTGAAAAAACTGTACCTGTGTTAAGAAATAATAATTGAAAAAGCCCCCAATTGTATAGCAAAGCACAGGGTCACGGGTCAGTTTTTCTGGGAAACACTCAGGGAAGTGCTGAGAGCACGATCCAGTGGAGAATCACGGAGGCTGACTGCATGGTCCTCCCCAGTTGTCACCAGTTAGGGCAAGGGGATGGACCCTTCAAGCCCTTCACTGGATGTGAGCACGAATTGGACAGACATGAACTGGGGTGTGTCTGGGAGAGATCTGGTTGAGGGTTGTCAGCCTCCAGCAATTGTAGCAGCTGGAGAAGCAAGATCTGTGCTAGAAGGGCATTGGTGGGCAAATGTTTCCGTGGTACACCACAACAACCACTATCATTCACTCTTACCTTGCTCAGGCTCATGTGTTCGTGTAGATTCTAGACCAGTTCTCCCATGGCTACGTTGTGCTCACTTTCCTAAGGAGGCACCACACACCTCCTACCAGAGCTGCTTGCAAGACTTCACTGATGTTCACCATTTCCATCTCTACTCTCCCTGTAGATTCCCCTCCTGCTCAGCCAGCATCTCTGCTGGTCTAGGTGGCTTGCCTTGTGGATGGACAGGGTCCTTCCTTCTGGAAATGGTCTGAGGCCCTGGAAACCTCGTGGTCTTCTCAGGCCATGGCTGGTGGATTTGCTTGTCATTTCTAAGGGATAACTAAGTGGGTCACTTCATCCTAGCCCAGGACTACCCACTCAGAGTACTACAAGTATTGACAGAGATGGCAAAGGCAGGACTCTCCCAACAAACAAGTTTATTTCTTACAATTCTGGAAACCGGAAGTTCAAATGTCAAAGTACTTGCAGACTTGGTATCTGGAGAAGGCTTGCTTTCTGGTTCCTAGATGTCAGTCTTCTCACTGTGTCCTCAAATAGCTGCAGGCCTAAGGGAGCTCTTCAAAGTCTCTTCCAAAAGGTCCCCAGTACTCCTCATGAGGCCTCCAATCTCAAGATCTAATCACTTTCCAAAGGTCTCACTAGAAGATGAAGTCTGAGATTATCTTAACCAGCGAAGTTGGAAAGGCAACCAGGGGTGTTTCAGCTCATAGGAAGTTGTGAATGCGATTAAAAGAACAGGCAAAAATAGAGGAGCAGCCCAAATCTACACTCAGAAGGAAAGAATGCATGAACATAAAGATAAGGGTGATTTCCCAAATAAAAAGTCATGTTGCTTTGGTAGGTTCTGTAGTGAAACAACAAGCAGCAAACAACAACAGCAGCCCTCTTTTTGTCCCTTATAGTCTATCCAGGCTCCCCACCCTTGGGCCAGGTAGCACTCACACCCAGGGTAGAGCACCCTTAATCCTAGCACTGCACCAGGAATCAATCCCAGCATCATATCCTTCATCTCAGCATCAAACACTCTAGATCCAGCCACCTCTGAAAAGCCCCACCTATGACTGCATGAGAGACTTTGGGGGTCATCTAGACACAGCCACAACAACATCCTTAAGTCCTCTAAAGGTAACACTGATTTCCCTCACCTGGTCTATGAAGTTGCTTTTGATTTACTGTCTTCACTTAGAGCATTTTTGGAGGTTTATACTTGGCCTTACCACTATGATACCTCATATAACATACATCAAGGACCTAAAGTGGAATGCAAATTACTCCGACTTCCACGTATATCAGATCCAATTATGCACTCCAAGAATGGAAAGACAATAACTGGTTGGGTCTGTAGAACTGGTAGACCCACAGGTACCATACTCCAGCCAGTACTTGATTTATTACGTGATCTCCATAATCCCTCAACTCTAACAAAGAAGTCTAATGGTACTTCAGTCTATTGATATCAATGTTAATTCAAACTATTGTGTTCATTAGCTCTTAAAAATTTTAGGCAAATCCTCTTTCTCAAGTGTACAATCACCCAATGGGGATGTAATCACAGTATTCACTCATTATTGTATTGCATGATGCTTTCTGCTCCAGACCTGGCTATTATTTTGTCACTAGGTTAATGCTCTGAAAATTTGCTCAGGTCCATGAACTGAGGACAGGATGGGTAAGAGGCATCCAGAACACTGGAAGGCTTAGTAAGACACACCCATTCCAAAGAGTGTGAGATAAACTTTAAGAAGATCCAGGAAACTTCCACTTCATGAGGTTTTTAAGGATACAGTAATCAGAGATACGCCTCTTGAAAGAAAAAGATAAATCATTGCATTTTGAGTCTGCCTCCATAAGAAATAACTGATGCACCTAGTAGGCTTCTTTGGCTCCGGGGAGAAAGCATTCTACCCCTAGGATGACTGCTGTGGTCCATACATCAGGTGACACAGAGGGCTGAGAGCTTGGAGAAAGGTCAGGAACAGGAGAGAGATCTGCAGCAGGACCAGCTCCAGCTGCGGTGCAAGCAGCTCATGGGCCATCTCATCTGACAGGCCCTGCGGTGTCAGAGGTGTCCGTCTGGGAAAGGATGCAGTGTAAAGGGGTGAGGCCAGTGCCCATGGGAGAATTGCTGCCAATCAGCCCATGGAGTTCTGGAACAGGGTCATGCTGCCTGTACCAGAAAATTGGGTGCCCCTCTGGAAACAGACCCGGCCATGCTTCTGGGCCCTGGTACAGGTAATACTTGACTATAGGACACCAAGGGACTGTGTGTGGAAGCTGATTGCTGTCAGACACACCAAAACATGAAGTCAGATCCAGGAGTAGTCCTTCCTAAATTGAACTTAGGCATCCCTAGAGAGCACGAGTAAATGCCAGAAGAGTATTCCAGACATTCATGGTGGAGCTGCCCAGCTCTCCTCCATCAACTCAGGCCAATGGTCAACTAAAGAATCCTGTGCAATTACCTAAAGAGGGAGGAAAAGGCAACGCTTCATTTGTAGGCACCTTGTGTTCAATTAATGGCTGTGATCAAAGAGATGATGACTTCATTACAGTCACACTGTGGAAGGATGTTAAAAGTCAGTGGAGAGGAAACATTTTCCACAGGGGTGGAGCTGCATGCAGTGAGCAACACATCATTAACTTTGGAAGGAGAACTGGAAAAAATATATATGTATATACATGAAATAGTGTGTGTGCCTGTGTAAATAGTACAAACATACTGTGTATAATAGCATATACAATTTATAGGATGGATATGTATACACACATTCTTTGAATGGGTTCTGGATTTGAAGAACAGTTCATATCCATAAACTAGGCAAGTGATCATAGCTTTTTATTGAAGTGTTCCTAATCTTCCTGATCATCTGTCTTGATTTATTTTGTACAGATGGAGCAAACGCCTTGGTACCTGACACTATGAAATGTTTCTTCTAATAACTGTCTCAGTAGCTTTCTTCAAATCAGACCCCTGACTACTCCTTTGACCTTGTTGCTCATTCTGGTAGTCATGCCTATCTTATGCTTATGTCAGTTTCACCAGCTACTCTATTGTGCAATCCTATTATTGCTAGCAGGGAACTCAATTCTGTAGCATCATATTTTACTGTCCACTTCTGTCTACTCTGACCTTCATATAGCCATCATATAGCCACTGAACCTTTATTCC